AACTTCTCATCAGCTTGAAGACTGGAGTCTGGTCCGCTTTCAGGCCCTGGCTGGACTAAGCACTCAGTTCTGCGCGCAGGGCTGGTGGCAGAACAGTTGATGACTCTTACAAATCACTGACAACTCCCAAAAAAGTAAGCTCTGGTCTTTCTTGAAAATCTTTTTTAAAAAGATTTACTTATTTATTTAAAAATCAGCGTTAGAAGTATCTTCCATCTACTGGCCCACTCCCCAAAAGGCCGCAGCAGCCAGGGCTGGGCCATGCTGAAGCCAGGAGCCAGGAGCTGCTTCCGGGTGTCTCAGGTGGGTGCAGGGCCCCAAGCCATCCTCCGCTGCTTTCCTGGGTGCATTAGCAAGGAAGTGGATCAGTAGCAGAGCAGCCAGGACTCAAACTGGCCCTCCTAGGGGATGCCAGTGACAAAGACTATCGGTTCACCTGCTTTGCCACAGTGCCAGCCCCGTATTGTATCTTGAGTGATAGGGTTAGTAAGGAACATTGTGTTTCCCTGAAGGACCACAAGGGAAAAACAGAAGAAATTTATCTTTTCTCTGAGAATTAATAAGGCAACTAGCATTCATGTTGCTTTTCAGGGTGGGTCTGTATTTGTGGTCTTAGTGCAAATGGAATGTTGTTCACAACCTAAAGTGCCAACCAGAGAACTTGCTGTCCGCTCTTGTTGGCCATTCTGACTAGTGTGCCTCAGTTTTCCTATCTATGAGGGGGGGGGGGTATGGGCTTTTCTATTGCTGCATCACAGGTTCACCGGCCTGAAGCAGCACCAGTTACTTGCTGATGGTTCTGTAGGTCAGAAGTCCAGGCATGGTTTCACAGCATCCTCTGCTCACTTACCTCAAAGTCAGTCTTCCATCCGCTGGTCCGCTCCCCCGACGGCCACAACGGCCAGACCTTCTCCAATCCAAAGCCAGGAGCCAGGAGCTTCCTCTGGTTCTCCCATACAGGTGCAGGGGCCCAAGGATTTTGGCCATCTTCCACTGCTTTCCCAGGCCATTGCAGAGAGCTGGATAAGAAGTGGAGCAGCCAGGACTTGAACCGGTGCCCATATGGGATGCCGGCACTGCAGGCGGCAGCTTTACCCGCTACACCACAGTGCCAGCCCCAGAACATAATATTATTAATATCTCTGTGTATTGTATTTTCCTAACTGCATGGTTTTTTGAATAATAGTGTTATAATCACCCTAGAAACATGATAGAATGATTATTCATTATTTATATATTCTACTGAAAGAGATACTGGGTTCATTGTGAACAAATTCATAAAACCCCATGTTTAGTCTCTTTGCTGAAAGTTGATGAATTAATTCAAAAGATTAAAAACACTGTAGTCAAACAAAAAATGTTGGTATTCAAGCCTGTCTACAGTGAGGCATAAAGAAAGAATGCATCTCTGCATGGTTCATTTTTTGGTTTTAAAGAAGAAAAATACATCACAGAATCCATGTCTTAAACATTCCCATTTTCCAGAGAGCACAGTTTTGATTCTTAAGTTCTGCATAGAAGATAAGTACTTCAAATACTTGACTCATGCAAAGCCCTCAGTAGATCTGTCTAGAGGAGGCAGCATTATGCAATCTGGAGATCCAGTTACAATCATGGAAGTGCTTCCCACTGGCTGTGGGAAGAAAGGCAGCTAAGGGGTTAACAGTAATATTTTGCAAATTGAGGCAAGTGAAGAAAAACGTATTAGCATAAGAAAAGGCAGCCTTAGGGAATTTTTCACTCTCATGTTTGGTACTAAGAGCTCTATGTTACCAAGGAGGAGGCCAGCAAAGAAAAAAGCCAGTGTCTGCACATTCTCAAAATACATTGCCATTGTATTCATTTACTGGTAGAAAGACCCTATAGTTACAGAGATTGAAAGTGATTCTTTCTAGAAAGAAAAATCAAAATTGAAACATGCCCAAGAAAAGCATCTTGGAGCATTGCAACAAAGAGGATTCCTCAGGAATTGATCGCGGAAAGATTCCCAAGTATGTCAAGACTAGACCAGAGGTGGTTTGATATTAAAAGTCAGTCTTAAGCAATGATTTTTAATTAAGTGAGCCCCAAATGATTGCAATTAATTTAGCTCATATTCGACAGCTTTGATTCCTTTCAGAAAGTGCGTCTAACTCGCAGTATCTGAATGTGGTTAGTGGGACGTTCCCTTTTATTAATGCCTAAAGATATTTCAATATTGCTTTGTCAGAAAATGCAGTTTGGAGTTGTAATTATTTTTGTTACTTGAAAACATTCAAAATACATGTAAAAGGTTCTTACTGATGTCCTTAAGATAGAAAATATATTAGTTAGTTATTATTTTGGGAAGATACTGAATTAGTTTTTAAATCAATCTTTCTCTCTCTCTCTCTCTCTCTCTCTCTCTTTTTAATTTTTTTGACAGGCAGAGTGGACAGTGAGAGAGAGAGACAGAGAGAAAGGTCTTCCTTTTGCCATTGGTTCACCCTCCAATGGCCACCGCCGCTGGCACGCTGCGGCCGATGCACCACACTGATCCGAAGCCAGGAGCCAGGTGCTTCTCCTGGTCTCCCATGGGGTGCAGGGCCCAGGCACTTGGGCCATCCTCCACTGCCTTCTCGGGCCACAGCAGAGAGCTGGCCTGGAAGAGGGGCAAAATCAGTCTTTCTCTTATAAAACTGTGAAACCATGAACTGTTTGAATTTCAATTCATGTGAGCACATGACGGTCCAAATTAGTCATCATGCATTTCATTAATACAGATAAAGGCCAGCTTATTTTAGATAAATTTTATGACTTTATACACTAGTTAGATAAGAAATCAGGGAATGTGCCATTTTGTTTCTAAGACAGTCCAAGTTAGAAAGAGGCAGTTTTTGGTTATAACAATGAGAGTAGTGGGCAGGCCCGTGGCACAGCAGGTAACTTGCCGTTGGGAACACTCGTCCCACACTGAGTTCTTGATTTGAGTTCCTGCTACTCTGCTTCCATCCCAGCTTCCTGCGAAGGTGCACCCTGGAAAGCAGAGGTGGTGGCTCAGCTACTTGGGTTCCTGCTGCCGTGTGGGAGACCTGGATGGAGTTTCTGGCTTTGGCCTGACTCCAGCCCTGCCTGTTGTGGGCGTTTGGAGAGCGAAAAAGCAGAGGGAAGGTCTTTCTGGCTCGCTCTCTGTCTCTCTGCCTTTCAAATAAAAAAAAAAATGTATATGACATAAGATCCAAGAATAGAAAATTTATCCAGGAGCTGACAACGAAATTATTTCTAAGTCAATAGATCTGGTCAATTGAGAAACAAAGCTATACCATGATCAAATTTTCTGTGCAATAGTGGGGGTAAACTTGCATTAAAAGTCCGTTTGCTTTGTCCTTTCGCTTGTTGATAAATTTTCGGTCAAGGCAGAAGAAGCAAAAAGAGGGCTGATAGTAGTAGCAATGGAACTAGGTAGTGAAATGTGGACATTTTCATTATACGATTTTGCTTTTTGAGATGTTATGAATATAGCATCCTATATCAACGAGAGGCAATATGCATTCCAAAACTGAAGGGAGGTGTGTTTTGTTTTGTTTTGTTTTGTATTCCATGTCCTGTTTTCTCAACTCCAGTGTGGAAAATTGAGAAGATGATTGTAGGCCAGAGTTCTTTTTGATATAAACGTGCCCTTGCTAGTTCTCGCGCTCATTGACGAGATGTGCCATCATTGGATGACTCCGGAGAAGAGAGGTTGCTACAAGAAGTCGTTTGTTCAGTAGTAACAGATGATCTGAGTCCACATGGGGGTGAATGGAATTCTTTCTTCTTAAGATTTATTTATTTATGTGAAATAGTTTTAGAGAGAGAGCTTCCATCTGCTAGTTCACCCCCAACATGTTGAATAGGCAGAGCTGGGCCAGACCAAAGCCAGGAACTTCTTGCAGGTTTCCCATGTGGGTGGTAGGGGCCCAGACACTTGGCCATCTTCTGCTTTTCCCAGGCCATTAGCAGGGAGCCGCATTGGAACTGAAGCATCCAGGATATGAACCAGCCCCCATATGGGATGCCAGCATGGTGGTCAGGTGTTAGGCTCTGTGCCACAGTGCCTATCCCTGTGGGACTTCTTCTTAAGGCAGGAACTAGATGCTAATGCACATTGTTAAATAATTTTTAATTGACAGAATATTTTTGCATACTTCAGAGGTATAATGTGATATTTTGATTCATGTATCAATTGAGTAATGGTCAACTTGGTAATTAGCGTAGCCATTCCTTGACGCTTTTATCATGTTAAGCTACCAAATATCCTATCAACACTCTAGACTTTCTGGAGGAGTTTTCAGATCTATACTGTATCACAGGCTATCTAATGCAGCTCTTTCCTGCAGTATTGGTGCCGTGCTTTCTAATTCTATAAGGAGAAAGTAAAATGAAAAGAGCTGGACTGTGGAATCTAGAGGATAAACAGAGGCATAGAATACCTGCTTGTTTAGACAGTCAGAGGGAAAGGAGTGGGAAGGGTGTAAGCTCCACCCTTGTTGCTACTCAACACTCCTCTTCGAGAGGGAAAGTTGAGCACAAAGAATCATGTTTACTTTACTCCTTGTGATGTTTTTCTCTCGGTTCAGGAAATAAATGACTTTCTGAAACAAGGGACTTCAAAAATTCAGGGAAAATGGAGATAAGTGGTAAATTTATAGGAAGTTTTTGGAAACTTATGCATGGTGTTTTCACAGGAATCCTTTTGCCTGAACTTTTCGAAGACTCCCTTATACGCTTTCATAATTTCCTTTTACCTGGACTCAGTAGCTCCTGTTTAATTTTCCAACTTGACCTCCTGCTTGAATAGGAATTTGCAAAAATGCTTTAAAAAGTTAATGGGAAAATGGAATCAAAATGTAAACTTATTTTGATGCAAAAAACGGAAACTCATGTATTGTTTTTGCATAATTTTCATTTCCATGAACTTTTCGAAGCCCCCTATAGATTCTTAGACAAGTGGGTGCCTATTTACTTGGAATGATGGTATACTAATTTTCTTTCTTTTACAGCATAAAGAAGCAAGTCTAGCTGCTCTTGATAAAATAACTCACAGATATCAGAACCCATGGTAAGCACGTACTTATTTTGTTTCCTTAAATTGGCAGTAGATAATTTCTAAATTCTAAGTGTATTATCACTTTTTATTTCATCTAGGCTGTTTTTGTAAACATTAATTTTTATTCCTAAGGACCAGTGCAGTTTGACTGTCTGCTAGGTTTTAGGCAGGGGACGGAGTAACGCAGGCATTGTTAGGATATAACAAAAGAAAGAGAAGCTAGCCTGCAGCCAATAAGAATGGCAGCTGGATAAGGAGCTTAGCTTTAACTTTATAAATAATTCTCTCCAGAGATAACAATATTAATTTTGTTCCGTGTAAAAAAGCTCATTCCATGCTGTTGGCCTAGAAACCGTAATGGGTAATATGGTTTAATGAGTGTAACCCTACTGAAGTCACGTAGACTTGAGTGCGTGCTGTTTCATGGCCACTTCTAACCGAAAGTGCACCTGTCTGGCTCAAGGCTCGCTGACGAGCAAGGAAAGAGCAGCACCTGTGCCTGCCGCCCAGATGTGACACAGGATTCGGGTTCCTGGGAGGACAGGGCTCGGCCGGCATCGCTCCTCTAAGACTGCGGGATTGCATGCTGTCTCTGCTGTGGTCGATTTCCTCATTTTAACTGTCGAATGCTATGGCTGTTAGCAATGAGCTGTTAGCATCCAAATAGAGACAAGGTTTTAGACTCCATGTCAAAAGCCTACCAAGTACTCTTCCAGGGCAGTAAGACCTCACTGGCAGTTCCTGTAACTTCCTGAGCATACTCCGTGTTGAAAGCCATGCAGAAATATTTCCTCTTTACTGCCTGAAAAGCACGTTCTTAAAATATTTTACTTCATTCATTTAGATGACATTGCAGGCAGCTACTGCAAATACCCCATCAAATATTTCCAAAGAAAGACAAATATTCCAGGCCATTGAAAATCAGTGAAACTTCAACAAGCGTTGTTGATCCAAGTGTGAAAATCGACTGCATTTATTTGAACATAAAAAGCCTGTTAGAAAGTAGCTAGGAAACACTGAAGCTCTGATCATTTTCCTCGCATGAAAGGATATTGGCTATGTTCATTTTTGGGGAATATACTATAGATTGTACCAGGCCATGAGGAAGCAAAATGTTTATGAAACAGACTTTGTACTTAGAAGTTGTGGATTCATGTGGGAGAATAAAGAAAAGTAACAATTGATTTGTATATTTTGAGTACAAAATTAATGGTGAAGACAATAACTAGAAAATTACAGCTAGAAAATTAAAAAAAATACTCCCTTCACTGATCTGGAGCGTCTGGTTTGGGTCAGACAGAATGCTGCTTCCTTCCTTCTTGAGATTCTAAAGACCTGTGAAGTTTAAAAGGCTTTCTGGTCCGCTCTTGTGCTAGCAAGATAGTCTTATTTTCTTTTTTTAAGATTTATTTATTTATTTGAAAGGCAGAGTTAGAGGAGGAGAGACAGAGAATAAGATCTTTATCTGCTCCTTTACGCCCCAAATGGCGGTAATGACTGGGGCTGGGCTAGGTCAAAGCCGGAAGCCTGGAGCTTCATCCAGGTCTCCCACGTGGGCGGCGGAATCCAAGCACGTGGCCCGCTATCTGCTGCTTTCCAGGCACATTCGCAGGGAGCGGGCTTGGAAGCTGAGTAGCCTGGACTCAAATCTGTGCCCATACGGGGTGCTGGCGTCACAGGCAGTGGCAGTTCAGTACCTCCTCTGTTCTAAACACCGCTAGAATCTGTTGCCACAATAATAATAAATGTATGCCCCCTCTTGGAACCTATATTCTAGGGGAAGAGAGAGACATTGAAACAAACATGGCATTTTAAAAATACTGTACTATTTTTCATGCTTTTAAATATTTTTTAAAGTTATATAATTCATGCTTAGGGCAGCAAAACTAACAATGTAGAAATAGAATAAAAGTTAATAACCTGGCATAGACCATTAAGGTCATGACCAAACAGTTCATTATGAAATACATTCACAAGATGTAAGGAGAACGTTTTCCTAGGACAACACCTGGGCAGAAGGGAAGAAGTGATTATTAAGCCAATATGGAAAAGGCAAGTATGAGGTGACTTCAACAAGTTCATGGAAAAATGGAATTAAGAGTTGTTAATTTTGGGCCGGCTCCGCAGCTCACTAAGCTAATCCTCCGCCTTGCGGCACTGGCACACTGGGTTCTAGTCCCGGTCGGGGCGCCGGATTCTGTCCCGGTTGCCCCTCTTCCAGGCCAGCTCTCTGCTGTGGCCCGGGAGTGCAGTGGAGGATGGCCCAAGTGCTTGGGCCCTGCACCCCATGGGAGACCAGGAGAAGCACCTGGCTCCTACCTTCGGATCAGCGCGTTGCGCCGGCCGTGGTGGCCATTGGAGGGTGAACCAATGGCAAAGGAAGACCTTTCTCTCTCTCTCTCTCTCTCTCTCGCTGTCCATTCTGCCTGTCAAAAAATTAAAAAAAAAAAAAGAGTTGTTAATTTTGGTACAAAGACATTCTGAAATCGGTGTATAATTTTTTAACATGTTCATGAGCTTTTTGGAGATCCTTCATATGCATAAATTTGGAAAATGTTTGTACCAAAATTTTTTCATTAGATTTTCAGTGAAATTTTAATGGAAAGATTTATTTTATTTATTTGAAAGGGAAGGATCGGGGGAGAGAGAAATCTTCCATCCACTGGTTCACTCTCCAAATGGCCTCAACAGCCATACTGAAGCCAGGAGCCAGGAGCTTCTTCTGGGTCTCCAATGTGGGCGCAGGGGCCCAAGCACTTGGGGCATCTTCTGCTGCCTTTCCCAGGTGCATTAGCGGGAGCTGAATCAGAAGTGGAGCAGCTGGGACTTGAACCAGTGCCTTATGGGATGCCAGGATTGCAGGTGGTGGCTTCACCTACTATGCCACAATGCCAGCCCCTCAATGAACTTTTAAACAATGTTATCAATTTATTTGAAAAACAAGAGTGACAGAAAGAAACAGATCTCCCATGCACTGGTTCACTCCCCAAATGGCCACAACAACGAAGGCTGAGCGAGGCCACAGCCGAGAACCGGATCTCCCATCTTGATGGGAGGAACCCAAGCAGTTGTATCATCACCTGCTGATTCCCAGACACAGCAGCAGGGAGCTGGATTGAAAGCAGAGGTGGGATAACTCAATCCCAGGCATGCCCATATGCAAGTGTCCCTAGTGGTGGCTTACCCAGGTGCATCACGACACCCACCCTCCGTATTTGATCATTCTTGGCAGAGGGAACATCAAATTATGGCCCTGCTAGACTATAGAGAGCATGGTGTGTGTGTGTGTGTGTGTGTGTGTGTGTGTAGTAAGATGAGGCTGGTCAGATCATTGTAGAACCTGATGAGCCAAGTTAGAGAGTTTGGACTTGAACAAAGAGGAGGATTCAGTGGAATGTTTAAAGCGAAAGTAACATGATCCAAATTCCTGGTGAGCCCCTCTGTATTGTTGTGGAGACTGCGTTCAAGGTGCTAGGAATGCTTGTAGGAAGAGAAAAGGAGGACTGGGAAAAGGCTACTGAGCCTTGAGGCGTGTGGGTGGCCACTCGAGAGAGCAAGATAAATGGGAGGCACTGAAGGAGAAAAGGAGCCTTAGGAGTGGGTCCAGGAGACGGCTCCTGAGTGGTGGAGAGTGCAGAGAATTTCTGAGAGAGAGAGAGAGAGAGTGAGATAGAGAGCCCCATTTGTGGGCTCCTTCCCCAGATGCTCACAACCGCTGGGGCTGGGTGGGGCGGAGCTGGGCACTGAATCTGAGTCTCCCACGTGAGTGGCAGGGACCAACTACATAAGTCCTAACTGCTGTCTCGTGGCGTCTGCGCTATCAGGAAGCTGAGCTGGACATGAAATCCAGACGCTCTGATGTGGGACAGGGGCATCTTAGGGGCTACGTTAAATGCCTGTTCCAAGAGAAGAGGTTTTTTGTTTGTTTGTTTGTTTTGTTTTGTTTTTAAGATTTATGTACTTATTTGACAGGCAGAGTGGCAGAGAGGGAGAGAGAGAGAGATCTTTTGTCCACCAATTCACTCCCCAAATACCTGCAACAGCACTGGCTGGGCCAGGCTGAAGCCAGGATCCAGGAACTCCATCTGGGCCTCCGACAAGGATGGAGCCATCCTTTTTGCTTCCCAAGCACATTATCAGGCAATGCACTGAATCAGAAGTGGAGCAGCAGGGGCTCAAATTAGCGCTCCAATATGGGTGGCAGGTGGCTCAACCCACTTGAGGAGGGTTCAATACAAGAGAACAGAAGTCAAGGAAATTCACAGTGGACAAACATTTGGAGGTTATTAATGGCCTCAGAAAAAGCAATGTAGGAAGAGTAGTGTGATTTGAGTCAATACCACCAGCCCTAAAGGACATTTGCCTGTGGATATAATAAAGAGTCCATTTTTTTTTAAAAGAAAGCTTTTATTTAATGAGTACATATTTCATAGGTACAGCTTTAGGAATACAGCAATTCTTCCTCCGTACCCTCCTTATCACCCCCTTCCCGTCCCACCCCCTACTCCATCTCCCATCCCATTCCTCTTTAAGATTCATTTTTAATTAACTTCATATACTGGAGACCAGCTCTATACTGAGTAAAAATTTCAACAGTTTGTACCCCCACACACACACAAAGTATAAAGTACTGTTTGAAAACAAGTTTTACAGTTAGTTCTCGTAGTATAACTCATTAAGGACAGAGGTCCTGTGTGGGGAGTTAAGTGCACAGTGAGTCCACTTTTGAAATGAAGAATTCAGTAGAGAATAATTACAAGAGTCACTGCATTTTAAGACACAGTTTAAAGTTTAGCTTGAGCTATAGATATGTTTCGCGATAGTTGTTTATAAATGTAGCATACAAATGCAGTGCCTCTTTTTTCCTTACATGTAAAGCTGTATCAAATCAACGATGTGTTAAACAATTTATTGCATCTTAAAGACCAGTTAAGATGTCCTTCAGCAAATATGAAATGACCTGCTACGTGCCAGATGTTCGGGATGTAGGAAACGACTAAGCAGGTTTCTTA